TAACCAGATTCAATGTTTTCCCATAGTTCATCTCCGTCGGTGAAAGGCGTTTCTCATTGCTGGATGTGGGAAATGAATTGCGAATCCTCACAGATGTCAATGTTGCTGCTCGCAACCAGAACATCTTCGGTAGTTTTGCTTCTGCCAACAGACATTGACTCAGCGCGATGACCAATTTGTTGTGGCGCTCTGTTGTTATGGGGCATAGTGAACTATTGCTTCACCTGGGATTCTCTTCAAAATCTTATATAATCAATTGACGAAATTTCATCTCCATTATCAGTTCGCAGGCCTCTTGGTGCCCCATCATCAGCTATAAACTCCTAAAACTTCAGTAGAGAATCACTCACCAGGTACTAGAGCATAACCAGCTGGCGGAAGTCGTCGATAAAGCACAAAGCATAGCGTGCACCATGCATAGTCGGTACTTCAAATAGTCAATGGATGTCACTGAAGACCCGTTTCCCCAGTGCCAATGCTTTGCTGCTAATCTTCATAGACACTGCTACTTCATGCATTGTGCAAACTACATGCTCGCTGACAAATGACAGGCAATGAAAGATTCTACCGATTGAGGTGCCCCACGAGTCGGTTCAACAAAGTTACATCACTGATATAGCTCTTTGTCTTCGTCACTAGTGTTATCAGATTCCTCCTAAATTTGCACTCAGAAAGAAAAACTTGCCGTGTCGCCTCACAGGTAGCTGTGCCCTCTCTGGTGCCATTAGTTCCCAAGCATCAGCAGTGAAAACGAAACTTGACCCACAAATTTGTGCTGAGCTCACTTTCATCAAGTCCACACTGTAGCTATGCACGAACAGCACCTGGTGAAAACTTTAAATTACAAAGCATCATGGCAGTACCCGATCTCCACTTCCACTTCCACTGATATTTTGCCCTCAATCCTTGACAAAGTGCCATTGCCCTTCTGCTTCTGCAAAGTTGTCCCTCCGTTCCAGGTCTCAAAGCTAGAAAAAACAGCCCTTTCGCGCACCACATGATCAGTTCACCCCGTATCCACAATGATGTCGTCTCTCTTCATTGAAGTTGTAGCACAGCAACTGAAGAACCCTGTCCTCCCCTGCTTGCACTCCCTTGTAAAAAGTCCAGGTTGCCTACAATTGAAGCATCTTTGCTTCTTTGCTCCTGGCTCACTTGACCTGTTCGACCCACTGCATCGAGCACTAGATTTATCACTGTCACTTTTGATTTTGCAGTCTTATGACTTTTTTGACTGTATGCATACCAGCCATTACTTGGCACTCTTTTCTTTTTCCTATGCGTGAAAAAGAATGGCTGTGTATGAAAGCCATCTAAAGTCATTGGTATTAAAGTCATATAACCCTGATTCAATTAAAGTTTTTTAATTTTTTATTTTCAAAATCTTACCTTTCTGATTACAAAAATGCTTTTCAATTATGTTTTTCCTTCACAAAAAGTGTAGTTATTTTTTTTCTTTTGTAAGTATAGACATTAGCCGAAAAAAATTAATCATAGATTCCGAAAAGATAATCTCGATCGGAATCCCAATTAGGGCAAGGAAACCGAAGCTTTTCGAAAAATCGCTTTTCCTATGGTAAGAATTACGAGCTACATGCAACAAGCACAGCAAAAAGTGAAGTGTAACTTTGAATATCATAAAGAGAAAAAATCATAACTTCAAAACCGTTTTTCAAAACCTTTATTAAACAAATTTTTGCGTTTGAAAAATGAATGAAATAACAACAAAAACAAGTTGCCTTTACAAATTGAAGGAAAATTGAAAAGAGATGTATAAAAAGATCCCTTTACTTATTTCTTACCAATGTTCTGCTGAATCAGCTCAGTTTTTAGAAACATGGGATGAATGAGCTTACGTTTGGAAAAAAAGCTGATTGAAGATTCGATAAGCTTATAAAATTTTTCTTCGTCCCTGTTGGATGCATATTTAGCTACAGACTTTTGTGGAGTATTGCATTTTATACATTCAACTGAACATTCAACTAAGACAAAAATGACTAAGTGAGCCCAATTGTTTCAGAAACTTTTCTCATTCATCCCCATTTTCTCGTTCAAACCTTATTACAAGTGATCTGAACAAATATACTTCATAAGGACTGGTAATACAAAGGTGAAACAATTAAATTTTTGGCTTCTAGGTGATAGGTTTGAGTCACAGTTTTTGATCCCAAATTTTGGTCTCAAGCTCAAGTTGCCACTAAAAATGGTGCAACCGGTCACACTCTGCGTACTGGTTGGCTCTCTGTGCATATTGGGTCACGCCGTTTGCGCCATTTTGACTTGATTGCAAAGCTTGGACATAAAACCTCGACCTCGACCCGGAAAAAAAATCAAACAGCTTTTTATGCTGTGCTGTATCTCGTGGAAAAATGCGATCAGCTAAAACTAAGACGGAGCAAATGGCGGAGCAAGCTTTTTTAAAAGATAAAGAAAAGACTATCCTCCGTCAAAAAAAACAACCATCATCTGTTTGGATCATATCACATCAAAGTTTGGAACACAGAAAGACCAAGTATCAAACTCCTAGCCCCATAGAGTCTAACTAACCCATCCGGCCGTAAGTTAAAAGATTGACAGGTAGGCGGCGCTTAAAAACTGAAACTATTCAAATTAATAATTTATCCTTTTTGCCTTACACCAAAAGAAAAGCATTAATTGAAATTGATTATCTTGAACTACTCATTTTGAGAATATGAAAAAAAATGTGTCACTCAACTTGCACAAAAGTTCGGATATAATCAAAACTCTTAGACTTTCTTTCGAGAATTGCGCAGACTATGTTCAGACTATGCTCTCTCTATTTTCAGATTTTGCGCACTATTTTTTGAGACTTTGCGCACACAGGTTCAGATTTTGCGCAAACTGTGTCCAGACTTTGCGCCGATAATGTTCAGTCTTTGTTGAGACGCTGTTCAGAGTTTTTACGGACTATGTTCGGAATTTTTACAGAAAATGTTCAAATCTTGAGCAGACTATTTTTAGACTTTGCGGATACATTTCAGACTTTGTAGTCAATTTTCAGACTTCAATCAGAAATTTTTCAAATCTTTCGCAGAATATGTATATTTATATATATCAAGGATAGCCGGTTGCTGCGCAAGTGGCGCAGAAATTTTAGAACACATTCTTAAAAAACTACCAAAACAAACTATATAAATGTATACCTGATGGTATTTGGTTTTGCGTGGAAAACAAAAAGAGAGAGAGAGAGAGAGAGAGAGAGAAAACTAAAACATACCCAAATACAAATTCCTCCACAATTTTCAAACGGTCGGAACAACAAGCATTATTAATAGTTCATAAATTTCGCAAATTAATTGGGCTTCAAATGTTTCGAGAGCCGTCGGCAGTCAATATAACTCCCTCTCAACTAGTCTCAAGTAGTTTTGGCTAAAAATAATTTTGATAACCTATAAATTTTGGATTGTCAATGACGAATAGTAGGAGCAAAAATCGTATGCAGAATAAAATGACAGTTTTTTTATTCTATTCAATTTGGAACAACGATGAGCGCAGTTCAACATTGCAATTAAAATGAGCACATCTCAAATTTACCCAACCAAAAAATTTAACAAAAAAAGATATCCCGACTTTGCAGGACGCAAAGTATTTTATGCGAATTGGCTTGACCAAAAGTTTTCTTCGCGACGCACAAACACATCGTATATTGTAATTATTAATATCCAACTATCAGTTTTTACCGCAGTTAGACTATTGCGAGAAGCCCCGCTTAGAAAACTGAAGAATTCAGGATTCATACTAAAGAAGTCAAAACTTTCATAGTTAAATTGTTCTGAAACTGATTGCATCATTTTGCATCATAAACATATATACATTACGATGATATATTCAGGCTCAGAAATGATTTTAAGCTGATTTGATGCACGCTATTTGGCCTTATTGTGGTACCTTTAGTTAGAAAAAAAATCATTCTGTACTGCGGCTAAGGTTTTCTGTCGGGTAAGAAATAATTCTGTACTGCATCATAAACATATATACATAACGATGATATATTCAGGCTCAGAAATCATTTAAAGCTGATTTGATGTACGCTATTTGGCATTATTGGTGATACATTGACTTAGAAAAAATCATTCTGTACTGCCGGTAAGATTTTCTAAACAGTGAAACAAATGCGCGCCTGTGATGTGTGAACTAATCGAAAGCTGTTTTCAGAGACGTCGGCAGTCAATATAAATAATTATTTTTATACTATTTACAAAATCTTACCGGCAGTACAGAATGATTTTTTTCTAAGTAAACGTACCGTCAATAATGCCAAATAGCGTGCATCAAATCAGCTTAAAATGATTTCTGAGCCTGAATATATCATCGTTATGTATATATGTATATGATGCAAAATGATGCAATCAGTTTCAGAACAATTTAACTATGAAAGTTTTGACTTCTTTAGTGAGGATCCTGGATTCTTCAATTTTCTAAGCCAGTGTTATCGCAATAGTCTAACTGCGGTAAAAACTGATAGTTGAATTTTAATAATTACAATACACGATGTGTTCGTGCGTTTCGAAGAAAATTTTTGTTCAAGCCGATTCGGACAATATACTTTGCGTCCTGCAAAGTCGGGAGTATCTTTTTTGTTAAATTTTTTTGTTGAGCAATTATGAGACGTGCTCATTTTAGTCGCAATGATGAACTGCGCTTATCTTCGTTCCAAATTGAAAAGAGTAAAAAAAAAACGGTCAAATTTTTCTGTATACGATTTTTTGCTCCTTCTGTTTGTCATTGGCAATCCCAAATTTAAAGGTTGTCAAAATTATTTCTAGCCAGAACTACTTGAGACAAGTTGAGAGGGATTTGCAACATTCAAGACTTTGCTCTGATATACCAGCAGCATTGTTATTCTTTACGAGTGATTCATATTTAAGATATTTCCTTTCATCTATAATTTCGTCAATGTTTTCTAGGAAAAAAGGAAATTGTTCTGTCCGATTGAAACCACTGGAGTCACAAAAATTCCTATTATAAAAATAGGAAGGGCGGGGTTTGATATCCTGGTCATAAAGTGTGCTCGTAGTCAGGTTTGTAATTTTCCACCCTGATCATGAGGCGAAGTCCACCATTGAGTATTGGGATCCCTGGAGTATCTACGCTCCATTACATCCTCAACATACGCTATCAAATCGCTCTTCATTCGCGCGCAATCCATGGCAGAAAAGGTTATGCCATCAGAGTCATAGCGGGTTTCGATATAAGTTTCATTGAACTCTTTCCCATTATGCTCCATGCACCATTTGCTGATTCTAGCCTTTAATATTTTGAATTCATTCAGTTGTTCCTCAAAATGTTCAATGCTTTCCATGTCTTTGTGCAGTTTTTGAAGCGCTTGTTTGTAAAGAAGAAAATCGAAAGGTGAAATTAATTTGTAGTTTATCCTGCGCTCAGCCAGCACACTTTGGTTTGTATGGTCGAATGAGTACTTGGCCTGATTCACAGGCACGTAGACAACATCCGACCAGTCCCAGCAGAGTTTGTTCTTTAGAACAACTAAACTTTCGTCTAAGTGTTCGGCAACTACGATGGCTGTGAAGTTGGACATAATCTGTTTCACATAAGAATCGAATGCCTCACTTGAGGTCAAGTTGCCAGCTCCGAAATCAGTCATCATGGGGTTGTGAATGTTCCACTGCACATTAAGCTACAACATTTTAGATTTTGGTTAACTAAACTTTATAAAGAGCGATTGAATTTGAAATATAGACACTTTTGAACTTTGAAAATAGCACCACCCCATTATGAAGGGTTCCGCCGTGAACCACTGGTGTGCCTTTTTTTAAATTAAACTGCTGATCAGCCTCAACAACAGCAGCCTTCCATTGGAGGTTGGGTCGGAGGAAGGGGAAACGAGGTCTGGGGAAAAACATGTAATTTTTGAATCCAAATATGTAATTTTTTGAGAACATTTTTTGACGCAGAAGCTTGGCTGAGGTTTTGGCTGATCTAAATCCTTAAATTTAACAAAATGTTTGAGTTTCCAAAGAATTTTTTGGCTTTTTATTAATCAATAACTTTATAAAACATTGGATAACTATCCTCCTTTTTGGTGCTTTTTTACCTTGTAACGAATCTCATCCCCACCTTTTTGCAAAGGGGAAAATAATCGAAAAGATCCGGTTCAATATGCAAAAATATAAAAAAATGAAATACAGTGCTGATTTAAATTAACCGGACAAAACGCGTTAAACTTGAAATTTAAAACGCGTTTTTCTCAAATTGGTTGAGTTTAGGAGAAAACTCATGAAGACAAAAGTTGTTTAAAATTTTAGCAGAATTAATATGATGTAATTTGTTTTGCGAAATTCGGGCCCAAAATTTTACCCGAAAAATGGGTCATTTTGGCTTTTCTAAGTTTCTCAAAAATTACGCAAAAAATACCCAATCGATCACAGACATAACTTTATCAAAGTGAGCTTCTTACAAAGCCCAAAAAAACAATTAAACAATTCAAATCGTTCGAAATTTGTTTTTTAAAAAAATTTGATAATTTTTATAGTAAAAACGATCTTTTTTGTCTATCAAACAGAAATAAATTAACTTATACAAAGTTTTGGAAAATATATCCTGCTTTAAATTTGTTGGGCTACGTAAGAAGCTCACTTTGATATAATTATTTCTGATATAATATCGATTGGGTATTTGGCGTGATTTTTGTTTAACTAGAAAAAACGCCAAATGACCCATTTTTGGGGTAAAATTTTGGCCCTAAAACAAATTACACAAAATTAATTTTAAACAAGTTTTTTCTTCATGAGTTTTCATTTAAGCTCAACCCATTTTGAGAAAAACGCGTTTTAAATTGCAAGTTCAGCTCGTTTTGTCCGGTTAATTTAAATCAGCACTGTATAAGGTAGAAGAATTAACCTGGAATATTCATGCAAGAATTTTGTACCTTGTAACGAATTCAACCCCCGCCCTCACAAACACACACCTTTTGGCAGAAGGGGGAAAAAGTTGAAGAGATCCGATTCATAATCAAAAATTTAAAAAAAATGAGTTATACGGCAGAAGAATGAATCTGCAAAATTCATGCAAGAATTCAACCAGATTGTGTTTTGTGAACCACTACACAGAAAATATGAAGTTCTTAATTTTCTACTTACGAGCTCAAAACACAAAATCTTAGATAGAATTGCAAGGTTTTTAATAATCTGCCGTGTAGTTACGTGAGGCGACAGTTCGTAACAAAGGACAATTCAAACATTCAACCTCTCGCCGGATGTAAGCGAAGGGGAGAGAAGCGGAGGAAGCGTCTTCTAATTCGCAACGCCTTGGTACGAATTGTCGCTTGTTGCGAGTTACCGCGCTACTGCTTAGTTCAGAATGAAAAACCTTCAAAGATGTTTGCTATGGTATTTAGAAACGAAAAAGACTACTCGTATCATGGCAAAGCCTTGATTGTTCCGACCGCCTTTTAAGGTTTATGAAGCTGTAATAACATTAAAAAATCAAATGAAATAAAACAAAATGAATTTGAATTTTTTAATGAAAATCATCCCCCCACACGCCATACAAAAGGATAGATTTCGCGCCTTGTAACATATCAATTATGGCAAATAAGCTTCTTTCAACCAATTTAGAACGATTTTAAAGACGGATTAACTCTCTGCTTACGCGTTAATAGCCCGAAGTATATCGCGCGTTAATTGTCCCAAATTGGCCAAATTGGCAATCTTTAAACTCCCATAACTTTACAAAAATTGATCACAGGTAAAAGATTTTTTCAAATTTGAGCTTAGGACAATATTACCTTTTGAATTAAATTTTAAAAAATCCGTCAAAAATGGCTAGTTAAAAAGTCGAAACGTGTCTGAAGAAAAAAACACCCCGAGCATAAATATTCCGTTACTTTCGTATCGAAAGTCGGAACACTAAGTTAAAGTTTTTGCGATCAGTTGGTTTTTAGCGCTATTTTTAAACTCTAGTTTTCATCGTCGCCAAGTATGACCTCCAAAAAATGACATTCAATTATATAAATATACTCTAGATTGAAGTAACCTAATCAATTGCGTTTTAAAAATTCAACTTTTATTGAAAACCCTTGGTCATGAAAAATATATATTCTTTCCACAATATAGGACGTTTCAAAATCTAAAATACATAAAAAATTACCTAAATGAAATGTTTAAATTGCACATTATTCGAACATTCGAATATATTTAAACCAATAGTACAATTTGTAAGAGTTGCTGTTTATTTCAACCAATTCTGGTCGCCATTTGTCGCCAATTTGAGTCTTTATTATTTGATAAAATTAGATATAAGGGAGTTTTGAATCAAACCATTAAAAACTATCAAATTTTTGAAAAGCAATGTATTTTGCGGTATATGGGATAATATGCGCTTAACAAAGAAAAGATCTACTGCCGAGCATCCTGAAGGCTGATCTAAATTAACAATTACTTAAGTATTATATCTTCAGTTACATTGCAAACAGTTTATTATTGTTCCGACTTTCGATACGAAAGTAACGGAATATTTGTGCTCGGGGTGGGGGTTTTTTTTCTTCAGACAAATTTCGACTTTTTAACTAGCCATTTTTGACGGAATTTTTTTATATCATTCGAAAGATATTGTTGTCTTGAGCTCAAATTTGAAAAGATATTTCACCTGTGATCACTTTTCGTAAAGTTATGGGGGTTTCGCGCTATTAACGCGTAAGCGGAGAGTTAATCCGTCTTACAAATCGTTTCAAATTGGTTGAAAGAAGCTTATTTGCCATACTTTATTTGTTACAAGGAGCGAAATCTATATTTTTGTACTTTATATGGCGTGTGGGGGGGGGGGGTATTTTCATTTAAAAATTTCAAATTTTTCAAAAAAAAATTTCATTTTGTTTTATTACTTTATTTTTTTGATGTTATTACTGCTCCATAAACCTTTAAAGGCAGTCGGAACATTCAGGGCTTCGCCCTGATACGAGCAGTCTTATGATTACTCTCATGGGTCGTGCACAGTTTCGTCATACCCTTTTTTAGATCGGGCAACCGCGCAGAATTTTCTTAGTCTTGCAAAGTATCCGCATACCTCTGTTCGATCGCGCAAGTCACGCAAAAGTTTTTGGTCGAGCAAAGTCATACACGTTTTGGGTGACTACCGTTGCGACATTTTCATTTTTATAGAAACGGCGCATATCGGCCCGAAACGAGTCAAGAATTAAGAATTCAAACCAAAAATTTCAAAAATCTCTTTAAACAGCTACGTTAAAGTTGTCAACCTCTATGCTGCTGAAAACTATGGTAACAGTGGTCCGTAATTTCGGACTGTTCGCAAAGCAACCAGCTCAGCTGCTGGTGATAATAACACGACATTTATTGCAACTTAATCGTTAGAAGTACCGATTGCCACGTGCTGTTGTGTGGGTTGTACTCTCGGATGAAGAAATCGAATGCATTCTTTTCGGTCACATTGGGGAAGAGTGATTTGACTGAGTCGGTCATCTGGAAAAAGTTGAAGTAGGACTGAAATTGGGCCAGAGGCTCCCTCACTAAGCCCACCAGATCAAATGGATGCTCCATCAGTTGACTCCAGTGCTCAAAGTTGTACACGCAATGGAGTGTCATCATCTGCAGATAAATACAAATTCGGCACCTTTTCTGAATAGTGCTAAAGAGTAGCTTCAGCATTTTAATCGGTCAAAAACTAGTGCTTTTCAAAATACATCAGATTTTTTAAACAATTTTTTATGAGTCGGATGACGAAAAAAGACATTTTAAACAAATATGATGTTAAGATTTCGGATTGAAAAGCTAGCTTCTACAAGGAAAATTTTTCTGAAATTGTCTATTCACTCTTTTTAGTTTGCGTTTTTAACAGTTTTAACTTTTTGAAAAACGTTTTTAAACTTTTTTTAGCGAAATACTTGCTACTAAACGCGAGACTCGCATTGAAGTATGTCTATCGTATTCAGGTATGTCTTTTTTGAGCAGATTTTGTTGCTCAGTTTCTAGTTTAAACGTAATTAAAGTCACGTAAAAAAAGTTTGAAAATTTAGGACATGCTCGACCTTTGTTTGGACTTGCTCGAACTATGTCTTCGACTGTGCTCGACCTGTTTGTCGAATATGATTGACCTATGTTCTGACTTTCTCGACTTTTCAGTTCATTTTTTGTCATGATGCTGGAACTGAAAATAAACTATAAAAATATGTGAAGTGCAACTCTCCGGCAATAAACACTTTTTTCAATTTAAATCATTTAGTTTTGCTTTTATCCTTCTTACTAAACTGAACTGAAACTGTTAATCTGAAAAGTTATATGGAAAAAATTGTTTGAACTTACTTTTTCTTGCCGTTGGAACATTTCTATCTCAAAATATTGAAATATTTCATCTGAAACTTCTAGTTTTGCGGTAAAAAAACTCTCCTCAAATGATTGCTTCTGATCGCAAATTTCAGAGGCCTTTCATGAGCTGATTATTCAGCCCATTTTCCAATTGAAATTTAAGTAATCTCTTCAAAAACAAATAAAACGTAAGAAAATTTCCGCTGGGCTCGACCTCGACCTAAGGTTTGACCTGGCTCAGCCTATTTTCCGACTATGCTCGACCAAACTCAGAAAGTTTTTGACTGTGCTTAACCTACTTTCTTAACTTTCTGGATCAAATAGCAGATTTTTGGGTTGTTTCGACTACGGTCGACCAATTCCGTTATCTTCTTGACCAAAGTCGGGTAATTATGACTGTGTTTGACCTATGTTTTGACTTCGTTTTTGACTTGACACTGTGAGTTATGTCCGATGTGGTTAACTCATAGAGTAATTTCGGATAGGGTACACCGTCTGCTTGTCACGCTATCTTATTTTCGGCCGGATAGATTCGTGCAACTTCTTAGTCTAATACCGATCCTAATCTTACTCTTATACTTTCTAGTCCCAGGGTGTTTAACTAGTCTCTGCTAGGCTCAAAAGATCTAGGGTATACTGGTTTGTTGCGGCTGCTGAAGTTCTCTTGGAGAGACAATTAATTTCTAAGTTAAATTCAAATCTCTCTGGTGCTGAAATTACAAGTAATTTCAGCACTTACAAATAAGTAGGTTGTTAGAGATGGATCATGATTGGTTAATATTAAATACTTTACAGTGGTAAAATATCTAATTTATCCAATCATAAAATATAGTTTAGATCAGGTTCCACCCATCCGGGTTTTACAGAGTTTTTTAGAATTATCTTTCTGCAATTCAAAGGATGGATGATGAGCGTTGGTATTTGGCGAACATCGTATTCTTGTCCGGTTCCTCTTGTTAGAGAAGTTCCAGGACGCTGGAGTTAGTAGCATCAATCGTTGTGTCTTCTTGTGACAACGACTGTGTTTCCCAACGAAATCAATCTGATTTCAAAATGGTTTGCTATGACGGGTTTTTCTGTATTATGTAGAGAACTTGTTTTGTGTTCAACCTCGTCTGGGAATGGCGTGGAGATTGTGCGTGAAGGGGATGCCTTGTAACTCGGATCTGTACGTATACTTGAACATCGAGGTGGTCATTGGTCTAGTTCAATGAAGTCCTTTTCTGCGAAGTCAAGTCGTACTCTAAATCCTTTGAGTTGTGATCGTGGACGGCATATCGGTTGTGGTTAGCCATTCTTGTTTTTGTGTAATGGGATCATTTTGTCTTTGGATGTTCGTCTTTGATGTTGTGTGTTGATCTATATACTGCAAGGTACGATTTACATTTTATAAAATTTTTATGAGTTCATTTTTTAATTATGAATTTAGTTAGTTGTTTTCACAAAAGCATTTTGTTTTAGTTCGGTTATTTTGAAGAGTTACTCACCCTTGAGTACCTCTTATTAAAAATAGAAGTGTGGTCACAAAGCGTGGATGTAGCGCGGTGGGTTAGGCCGGCTATAGAGCATGCTCAGGACGTCCTCTCTGGTGGGTTAGGCCAGGAGTGGGAGTATGATTTCGTGCGGTTTCTTTGAGAAGTCCTGTTATGTGATAACGTTTTATGTTGGGATTGTGTTGGTCTTTCTTATGTTCCTTTGGTTGTGTCCTTTTTTCAAAAATCAAATTGTTTTTGTTATGGGTTTGTCTTTCGACTTTTTTGTGTTTTATTATTTCTTTCTTAGACTTTATAATAGTCTTCAAAAGAATAAATTATCCAGTTTTAAACTGGGTTATTCCGGTTTGGGTACCGTTGGTTTTCTTTTCTTAGTCATCCTGTTATTTTATGATTTGTGGTGTTTAGTAAGCTGCGTTGGTTAGTTTGGTTTAGTATATAATTCCTTTCCAACCGGGTTAAAGGAAAGTTTGAAACTTGTTATCGTGTGTTAGGTTGTTGAGTGTGAAAACTTGAAACTGAAATTCATTATTTAAACAATTCTTCGTGGGCGAGCTGTGCGAGTTTGGATAGAATTCCTGTGCGAATTAATGAAAATATCAAAAGGTTAGTACTGCATTTTCATTTTATCAATTTATTACATAGATTTTCAATTTTACTGCTAGTTTTTCTGGGGGAAATTTAAAGTTATAAATTTTCATCATACTTAAATTTACTGTTTTATGGGGGAATAATTTATAAATTAATTTACTACATTTGGTATAAATTTTATCAGATTATCTTGTGGAAAATATTAATGAAGTTTAGAATAATTTTAACAAGTTTTTATTTTTTATTTTTCTTTTCTGTTTTTTGCAGATGATCGTGGTATGAAGACTAAAAATCTAAAAAAACATGAGTAAAGAATGGTTAGTTATTAATTTAAATATATTAGTGAAGAATATTTGTAAATTATACTTACCTGTTAATCGTCTGGGAAAAAACCGTGGGGGAAGATATCGTGTATCATGTCTAAATTTGTTAGTAATTTTGCTAGTATGCGAATGATGTTTTTAGTTTGGAGCAGTGGCCAAAGCAATTGAAGTGCTTTAATAGTTTTTAGTTCTTCGGTGCCTACTGCAAACTCATAAGGTGTGTTTTGAATGAGATTATAAATTTTGTGATTGTATTTGGTATTGTGAATAAATTCTAATATAGGGATTTCTATAGGTTGGATAAACTCATGTGGGATAAGGAAATGTCTGGATTCTTCGGCATTAAAGGTCTTCGTGATGGGACAAAATATATACATTTGGGTTATTGGGTCATAATTGCGGAGGATGCCGTGGAGGTTAGTATCTTTGATGCAATAGGTGAAATTTAGAAAAAATGGTGAAGTGTACTTTGAGTTAAGAAAATGAAAACGATGGTGTGGTTGTCTTGATGGAGTATGTAGATCAAAATGATTTTGTATGAAGCGATAGTATGTATATGTGTGAGTTTGTTTAGTGCGTAACATAATGTCGTGTAAACAGTGCAAATTGCGTTCAAATGGTGCAAGGAAGTGGCAGGCAAAGGGGATTAGTAAAATGGTAATATGCTGTCCAATGAAGTGTTGGCATTAAAACATGTTCATCTACGAAATTGCGTGTGTCATTAGTATCGTTAGGTGTGTTTAATTTATATTGCGGAAAGGAGGGTAAGGTGATTTCAAGAAAGTTTTTCGTGTTGGTGTGTTGCGGGCGATTAATATATTCGCAGGCTGTTCCTGGTTTGGTCGGGAATGGATGGTTTGGGATTTTTCTTTTAAAAGTGCGATAAGCTCGGTTTGTGCTAGTTGATGATTCGGTGGATGTGGATGATTGTGCTAACGATACAGTATAGGCTGAGGAGGGTGTAGGAGTAGGTGGGTTTGAGGATTCTATTGTGGATGAAATTTGATTTATAGTGAGGGTGTTAGGGTGTATTAGCTGTTGTTGTAGGGTGATAAAATTATCGAGTTCTTGGGAGATTTGGGGAGTATCGGGAGAATTAGATGATCGGTCGGAATGAAATGGAGAATAGGTTGGGGTAACTTGTGAAGCATAAGAGGGAGTAGAAACAGACGGGAGTGGATTATTGAGTGGGATCGGTTGAAAAGGGGGCTTTAAAAAAACTGAGGAATTGGTTTGAAAATTATTGGATGGAGATGGTTCGGAGTCTGCAAATTCGTCAGGGGTTTCTATATTAGGGTTATTAAGTTGTGAAATGGAGTATAAAACTGAAATATCTGAATTAGTATCCGAATTCATGCTTGATGTTATATTAATAGATGGAAAATCGGGTGGCGGGAAAGCAAAAAGTGGGATTATTGTGATTGGAGTGTTGAGGTTGGTTTGATGGGAATTTGAGCGGTGTAGGGATCCAAGTTGTCGGCTCATCGTGGGCTAAAAAAATTATTATTTTGAGACTGAAAAGCGGTGGTATGAGGTTATTCTATAATTTGTTCATATGTATTATCATCTTGTGAATGATGTGTCATTATATGTTGTATGGGACTTTGCGATATGTTTGATCTAAAATTTGGGTTATGTGTTATTGCTAGGTTTCGGAAATTACGTGGGACTAAGGATAATGGATGGTTATGTGATAGGGGTGGCAACTGTGGTGCTGTAGGCGTTACTTCTATGTTATTATGTTCTTCGTTGTATGTGTTCTGTGTTGTCGCTATTTTTGTATTATATTCTTTGATTTGTGCGTCTAGAAGAATTTTGTTAATTGATGATGAAAAAGTTCCAAAGAATCCTGCAAATAGTATGCGTGCTACACTTG